AGAGAGTTTCGAGATTGGAATTTTGGCTTGTAACTAAACAAATTAATAATAAAAACATAATTTACTGATATCCGACCTACAATCAGAACTGATCACAATGCTTTAACAGGTAAATGTTGTATTTAAAAAAAATGAGAGATGACCAGGGTATTGGAAAAATGAATACCGACATCCTAGATGATGTAAATTAAAAAAAATGAAAATTTCAGAAATTATCCATTCCTTTTGTGAAAATGATTTCTCATCTTCACAAAAAAGGTGGGAAGTGTTCAAGATTAGAATTGGTGAATTTTAACAATAATTTGGCAGAACAAAAGCACTCGATAGAAAAAATGATAAGTTTTCATTAGACAAGAAATTGTGTTAAACAAATTGATGTCAGTATACCTGATCAACAAGTAGAAAAAGAGTACACCGATACAAAGAGGAGGCTAGAGAAGATCTATAGACATGAATTCAGAGGAGCTGGAATCAGAGCTCGTATAAGGTGGATGGAAGAAGAAGAGAGATGTACCAAGTATTTTGTTTTGGTTTAGAAAAGAGTAATGCAAAGAAAAAGGAAATTTCACAATTAAAACGTGGAAATGTTGTCGAATTGTTAGCAAAAAAAGAAGAGATTATCGAAGATGTTGTAAAGTATTATTCAAATTTGTATAAAAAAAGAAAAGCATAAATCAAGAATATGATCAATTGTATTTGTTTTCAAATACTAATCAGTAATTGTCTAACGAGAACAAAGAATTGTGTGATGGATTAGTTACCGAAGAGGAATGTAAAAGTGCAGTATTTGTATTTGCAATGCAGAAAAATAAGACACCGGGAGCAGACAGAATCTCGAAAGAATTCTATCAGGTTCTTTGGTCACAGATAAAAACGTTTCTTGTTGAAGCTTTGAATGAGTTTTATGTAACAGAAATGTTGTCGAACACACAACAGAAAGGTCTCATTACATGGACCCTACTTCAGATGGAATAATAATAAGAGTCTTTCTTTGATCACATCATGACCACCGCCACCTGACAATGTGTATGTTGATGAAGACATTCATTTGACGCGACAATGCTGATTATGTAATCACGCATCATCACAGACAACAGAACTTTCTTCAGATTCTTTTCGCTGGGCCAGGGCCAAGAGTGTAGTTTCAAGAAAAGTATCGTGATTTAAAACCAGTTAGAGGAGCACTGAACCCTAAATTAGGAAAAATTTAAAATTTGTGTGATATCAGATTTATTATTAAAGAAGTGGACACTGGTGGACATACATTTGGACTTGCCAAACTTTGAAAAATACCTATACTTTACTGTCATATTACCTTCTATTTCTTGGAAATGGATAGGATAAGTTTTTTTAAGAAGTTTAAAATCATTGTGTTACAGCCTAATAAACAGGTATCTCTTGTAAACTACTTCTAATTTCCTATTGAAAACTTCTATGATTTAAAGGATTCAGTTTCTTTTGCGCAGGCATTTTGTTGATTCTTCAAGGCACAGTTTTTTATTTTTATGGCTGACTGGCGGCGGTCGTGATGAGATCAAAGCTTAGAAGCATGTTTGGAATGTCATGATGATACTTTGACAGAGTTAGGTGCATGAATGTTTGGTACCGATCAGTGTCCATTTGTAGTAGGTCTATGCTTTAAGAAAGGTGATTCTCACGATTTAAAGAACTGGAGACCAATCACTTTGCCTAATTATGACTATCAGATAATGGCAGCGGTTTTAGCTGCAAGGGTACAGAAAGTTATCGGAGAGATTGTACATGGAAATCAGGTTATATAAAAGGGCAGCCAGTAATATAAGGTTGACAAAAGATATTGTATATTTCATTAAAAAATAGTCAAACTGGAGCAATTATGCTAGCAGATTTCACTAAAGCATCCGATGTCTTAGATATACAATCTCTTAACTTATGTATAGAAAAGTTAAATTTTGGTGATTATTCCGCAAATGGATCTCTGTTCTAAACAAAAACATTTCAAGTTCGGTATTGGTAAATGGTTGGATTTCTAAAAGTGTTGCTATTGAAAGAGGCATACGACAGGGATGTCCATTGTCGTCATTGTTGTTTATGTTAGCTGCCGAACTCATGGTAAACAAAGGGAGACAAAATAATTAAACAGATAGAAATGGTTGGGTATGACTTTAACCTAAATTTGTTGCAATATTATTATGCCAACGATACATTATTTTGTTCCGGATAAAACTTCATTGAAGGGAATTTTATATGAACTGCATCTGTTTGGCGATGTAGCAGGTCCAAGAATAAAGAAAGAAAAGAAAGTCATGGTATGGCTAGGAGACACTGGTAGAAGTTGGAATTTAGAGAACATCATATGAAATGGAACCACAAGCCTATAAAATATTTAGGTCATTATAATGTGTATACTTTAATAATACTGAAGCTCTAAAGATGGATGGGGAACAGAAGTTGATAGCTGGACAAAAGAAAGCTTAAAGGGCCCATGACATCGAAATACAAGTGTATTCCACAAGGGGAATGAGATCTGGAGGTTTTTGGGGTGGAGCTTAGCAAGTTTGAAAAACAAATATTTCAAAAAATATTTAATAATCTATGAAACAAATTCAGAAGTTTACATATCAAAATATGGGATGTATGCAGGACTGCACACAAATAGGAATACACTTGTATTTCGATGTCATGGGCCCTTTAACCGTTTTTGGCAGAGTCCCGGTACTTTGCCAAATTACTCACTTGATCATTGTTGATTCTATCCCTCCAAATCTTTTGAAGATGATAGAGGGCATTATATTCAAATTTATTTGGAGTGGGAAAACAAAAACAATCAAAAGGATTTCTCTTTATATGGAAGACTACAGAAAAGGTGGTATAGAAATACGTGACATACAAAGGCAATTGGCGACTGAAATGGTTGTGGGTAGATTTTTCAATGAGAGTAATCAGAGAGGTGTAAGAAAGGAGTGTAATTAAGCCGCTTTCCTTTGACCCCATGCTCCAAGCCGCCGACAAGTTTTGCGCTAATCTGCAACTGTTGACCAGGTGGTGAGATAAAAGAGCGCAAGAAATTTCAGGATTTAGAATTCCTACATCAGAACAGTGGCGGATACAGGGGAGCCGGGGGCCCGGGCCCCCATCCCTGGGGAAAAAACATGTAAAAACACGTTAACTTTATACCTTTTTTGGGAGATGGGCCCCCTCCCCTGGCGCTCAAGGGGGGTGGGTGCGATTTTTAAATTTTCGAAGGCCCCCCAAAAGAAATTAGGCTCAATTTAACCTTTTTAAAATTAGACCTTTTTTGGAGATGGGCCCCCTCCCCTGGCGCTCAATGGGTGGGGGGTGGGGTGCGATTTTTCAAATTTTCGAAGGCCCCAAAAAAGAAATTAGCTTCTTTTTCGAAGATAGCTTGCATGTTCATCCTTACCTTGACACATAACTTTCATTTCAACCACGGTCATTTTGTACAGCCTTTTGGTAAAATCAGGTATTGTATCGTTGATTATTTTCCTTTATCATTATCTAAAGGGGACTGTTACGCAGGCTTTCAGAAAATTTCAAGAAAATTGTTGCTGTTAATGTTGGCAATTAGTTAAAGATTTGTGAAAGTAAGTTCTTTCCGTTTACAAGGGTTGAAAGTACTCAAATGTGAACCATCTTTAATTCAACCCCCGCTCATGTCCACATTTTTAATTTGTGCCCGTATTTATTGTGCATTATAGTGGCAATATCAACTTTTTATTATTATTTTGTTATTAGGGCCTATACCTAGGCCTACATGGCTCTTTTCATCAATGCGTTAAAAAAAAAAATCAATTTACTGCTTAAAAATACGGATCTCTGTTATATTTTTATGCATTACTGTTAGAGTGGAAATAAATTTGGAATTTAATTGAATTGAAGAAGAAAAAACGATGAGACAGTGACTGCCAAGATTTGGCATACCGGATAATTGTCAAAACAAAGTACCCATGTGGTTACGGCACACTTTCTTACAGGCGCGTAGCTAGGATTTTATTTTAGGGGGCGGTAGTGCACGGGAATCACTTCAAGAGCGCATGAAGCGCGGAAGCTTTGACGTTTCGTTAAATCATTAGAGAAAGAAGACGATTCGTTGTACCGTTCTCGACTCTTAATCCTTGTGTGAATTCAGTTAATTCCCCACATTCCCTCCATCAACAGCAAACAAAATACAATGATAAACCATTAGATATTAAACAAAACAAAAAGAAAATGTACTGAAATAAACCTACAAATTACAATGAAATAGGCCCTATACATCAATGTGAACAGATTCAGTTAATCATCAAATGCAATTTTTAATAAATGTGTCTGAAGACAAGTTTTGAATTAGTTAACATTCTGACAATTTTGACATTTAAAGGTAGTTTTTTAAAGTTTGTTCCAAAGTTCAGCAAAAGCTTTGCAGAAAGAGCGATGACCATAAAGTGCGGGACAACTTTCCCTAAAATGACTAAAATCATTTTTTTCTCAAAATGTATGACTCAGGAGAAACTTTAATAACATATGCTATATATTCACAATTTTTTAGACGTGCTCCAAGGGAGAAGGCGCTTAGGAGAAAAAGAGACATTTATGATATTTTTAGACACTACAAACCGGAGAGTTGTTCCTATAAATACGTCACATTCCAGTGACAAAATTGGTGATTTGCATAGATTTAATGATCTCATATTTCAAACACTTATAGTTATAGAGTTATTATCATTGGTTCGATTTATCTACTTTTCCCCTTTCATATACAAATGAATGGTTGGATTTAAGTTCGAGAAAATAGTATAGGCCTATCTATGGCTGTGATACAGACAAACGCACATAGTTTGCAAGAATCTTCAGTCGATTTGAAGGAGGCAGACTTAATCAGGAGAAGAAGAAGAAGAAGACATTCCCCAGTAAATAGGCCATTTTCTTTGGTAACGGAAAAAACCTACTCTGCCTGGAAGCCAGGCTAACTGGTGACAATAAAATTGTGTACATACGTACGTACATACAGCCACTGGGCATAGTGCCTGTGCAACGCTTCCGCATTGATACTTCGCTTAGCTAGACCTCTACGAATACTTTGCTCGTAACCAATTAGAAGAACGGTATCATCGGACGTCGGACTAGATTCATCGTTCGCTTTCTGCAAATTCTGGTCTGATCTAGAAAACAGTTGCTTCTCATCCCAGTCAATTATCTGGCCTTCAATTTAGCCCCTGTGAAAGGAAAGGACCAACAATATGAGCGACAAACCACCTCCACATAACCCGGTAAGTTTCAGTTTCAGTTTATTTTCATACTTCACATGATGTAGACTAGAATCTATAAAACTAGGCCTAGACTCTATAACAAATTATTACATTTGGCATGTTGCATTTTTCAAATGTTATACAAACGAAGCTAGAGAATGATACATAAGATGATAAGACTAAGTTGAATAAAGGGAGAAATATGATGGAGCCAAGTAAAGTCCTACTAAAGAGAAAGCAATGCTCAGTGGCGGATCTACTACTACAAGAGGGGGGGGGGGTCGGGTTAGGGGGTTTACCCCCCCCCCCCCCTTGGGCTGCCAAGTGTAAATGTGATGTGCATAGAAAAACGCCATCATGTGTGTCCACATGACTGTGTGCTCAGCTCAGTCTATAGACTCACTGAAATGTTAACCAGTCATTAATTTCCAAAAATAGAGGACCGACCGAGTGCCAAGAGTTAGAACACAAAGAAAGAATTAACGCACACTGGAGAAAAACCAGTTTCAAGTGCAAATATTGTGAGAAGATATTCAACTCATCTGGTAACTTAACCAAACACATTGTTTATTTAACTGTTACTCGATTTCAAAAGACATTATCATGCACTGCTTTTTATTGTCTCCATTGTGTTAGTACTAGTAGATGCCAGGAAAACATCACTCACGGGGGTTCAAAATAGCAAAAAAAATTGCCTCGTCTCTACTTGGACAAACATTGGGTCAAACCTCCCCCCCCCCCCTTAGCAAAAAGCTAGATCCGCCCCTGGTAGGCCTACTTGTAAGGCCATGTAAAATTGATTTCATGTTGATCGTCCCCTCCCGCTTCCTTTTTTCCGCCCGCCTCCTTATATTTGATAATTGATTTTTTTTTTTTTGATTTTTTTTTTTTTTTTTTACAATTCAAAATTCAGTTTAATCATCATGATCATGTGATAACTTTACATACAGAGAACTTGAACATTTCAGTACCACAAAGCTGTACATTTTAACACTGTTCTCATCAATGCACCAGCCTTGAGATACACACAAGGTTGGAAGATTATATTCTAGACATAAACCACAATAATTGATGATGGGAATACAGTTGTCGGTATACTACTTGTATATACTATAAAGCACCAAACCAACAGAACATAACTATCCGGAACCAAATATTTGCTTTCTTTCATATTTCTTTTCCTTTCCAAATGAATACACCAGGATACAAATTACCAAGATAACTTTTCACCTAACAGAACAATGCTTTATAAAGAAATGATTACCTACCGGGTACATAAGATATTGCAATATGCTAAGGTAATCAGGCTTTGCCATTTTGATGCGAAATCTGTATTCTTTTGTGATTTGTTGAGGAAAAGCCAGCTAGTTTATTTCTAACACTTTTCAGAAGATACAAAACATAAATTTAGCCGTTTGCAAGACAGTGGTTTATATTATGTACACTACTACATGTCCAAGAATTTTGTAAATAATTACAGTAATAATTACAGTAATAATGAAACTTTTCATTATGATCAGGTCCAACACCATGACATTTCAAATAATAATATGATAATATGAAAACAATATATTTTCTTTTTATTCAGAAAACAACACAGAATACTTACCATATGCATCTTTTCCACCTTTTCTTCAAATACGCTGTTCAAATATTCTTGTACAAACATACTAAGACTCTAGAAAAAATTGTATTGAAATGTAGAGTGGTTGATATGCTATATGATCGGCGATATGCTGAAGTGAAGCTGCGCTAAAAAATGATGCGATGATGCATGCGCTGCGCATGCATATATCGCATGTATATGCTTGAGTCGAGGAGCTAGCTAGAGATGAGTCGATCGAGTCGACTGATCATCGCATCACAGATACCTCACGATAGCGCGGCCGCGCTCTAGCGCTGGATTTTACACGCGGCAGCCATCTTGTGAAAAATATCAAATATCAAATAACATGGTACACCCTCCTCCTCTTTTTCAAAAAATCGGGACGATCAACATGTAATCAATTTTACATGGCCTAAGTTGTAATATAGTAGGTCATAGGCTCCAGAAGTTACAACATTGATATAGATCTAGTCTTGTGTATATTAAATAGCGTAATAGGATTTGGAACATATTTTAGGGAATAGGTAAACATAGGTTTAGCAATACTTGTGTTAATATCACTACCTGTACGCAATGGCAATTTTATTGGAGCGTACCCAAATGTCGGCATCATTTGACAGTGTCGCTGGCGCTGGCGCTGGCCTGGCTGTGTCTCGGTAAAAATGAAGTGTAGCCGCGCTGGCCTGGCAAAAACAAATTTCTTGGCAATGACGTCAACATCTTGGTATAATGGAACATACATGAATAGAACATTTTTGCGATATACATTTATTTAAGTAGGGGGATCTATAATTTCTATCTCACCTGCAGCTGCACTCATTCCAATGTCAATGACATTATTTATTGTTATGCATTATAACCTAAAACTTGTTAAAGATTGACAATGCGTTGATAATTTATTTTATTTTTGTAATTGACAAAAAAAAAATAGAATTTGCAGAGATCCATGCATCATCCATATATAATCCTCGTGTCTCATGAGTCATGTGCAGCACTTGGTGGATACGAGGAAAGGGGGGGGGCATGGGAGGGCAATACTTATTGTTCAGGCATAATTAAAGAAGTCTATTAATTACAAAAAGAAATGTTGGCCCTACACCCCCACTCTCACAATAAATTTACAGGTGTAATTCTGGATCAATTCTTGGTAAAGTGATAAATGCCCTAAATTTTTCAAACAATTAAATAGTATCGAGTGACCCCCACCCCCCTTTATGAATGTACAAAACTTTCCAGCCTCTGAAATAGAGTATTTTCGTACTTTTTGCAGTGCTTTTGTGCTTTGTTTAGGGCATGGCTGCAAAACTGTCTACGGTATACAGTCTTTGTAATATTCAATATTGAAAAGTTGTGGTGCAATTTAAAAAGTTCCCTTGCGTACTGTCTTCTCTGGCCTTAGTGTGATTCCTTTAAGTTCTAGCCCCCTTTTGAACTGCGTAAGGGTGGGGGCTGCGGTAGTAGATGCCAGAAGTGTATGCCACTATATCGTGCTTATCAGGCGCGTACACAGGGGGGGGGGGGGGGTTGGGGTTAAACCCCCCCCCCCTTCAGTTTTTTTTATGTGTATGTTTTTTGAGAAAACCCCCCCCCCCCCACTTATGAGTTTTGATTTTTTTTTTTGTAAAAAAAATATTAAAAAATCCTAATGGACGACCTAAAAAACATGTCCTCTTACCCCCCCCCCCCCACTTATTTAGCGGCTGGCTGAGTCGTTGCGAAATTTTTGGCCCGATTTCAAAATGTTAAAACCCCCCCTTGAAAAAATCCTGCGTACGCCACTGGTGCTTATACTATAAGCGAAATGAAAAGACACTCATTCTTTCCAGAGCAATTTATCGAACTCTAAGTGAAAATAAGTCTGCTGAATAGTGGAAAAATTACCACTTATTGGAGGCTCAAATTTTTTAGTTTCAAGTTCAAGCGGATATACAAATGCCCCTATAGGCTCCATGCACAAACAGTATGTACATGTACATGTGAGTACAAAGCTGCCCTGCTCAACCACTACCAACACTGTGGAATTCCCCAAACTCTATTTATAAATTTGTATGGATAATAGCGTCCTCTAGGGCTGTGATAAACATAACATTTATACAGAAATGTGCTTTCACTTCACTGTGGTATTTCCCTGAAAATCATTAACTTGGCACCAGTGGTGACTGTGGCATATCTATTATCTATACATGTATGTATTATGGCACCTGGGGCAAATAATGAAATTGTGGTATATTTTGTTCATTTTTTAACCCTAAAACACACAATTTCCAATGCATTTTATCCATATGAAAATGTGCATGGGAGTACTGAAATCATAGGCATATGAGCATATTTTCTTGGGGGATTGGGGGCTCAGGTCTGGTGACTGAATATCAACCCTCCTGGTCATTATTTTCATGAGCGAGCAAATTTCTTTCATGAAAAGAAACCTTTATTAATGTAAACTTATCAAAATATATTTAATTTGGCCACCTCACTGCCCAAACTTTAGAACTTTATATCATAAATCTTTGGCTGTCATTGAGAGTAGAGAATTTGAAACTTTTTCCTCAACTTTTTGTAGTTGCTGCCTTTCAGGTACTGCCGGTAGCACATGCCTCCTCTGCCTTTTATGTCATAAATATCCCTACTGGATCAGATGGTGAAATGATGATGAAATATAATGAAATTGGAATCTTTCTTTAATAATTCACATTGCATTAATGGTTAAGGAAATAGTTGAAATAACATTTGTGAAGCTTACCCTGTCAGTGTGCTGACAAATAGGGCAGACATACATGTTTGTTGTCTAAACTGCAGCCATGTGCATACTTCAACATGGCTCATGTCCAGAGTTATTACAACTTAAATATTAATTAGACAGGAACATCCCAGCAGATTGATTGGCAACGTTGGTTTAGTAAAAACCCTAGGAAAGGTGTGAGAAGGCGACTGGGAAACTTATCTTCACATTATTGTCCCATTTAGATTTATATTTACATTTTTAGTTTCCTAATGTACAATCTATTATTTTTTTTAATTATTATCATTATCATTATCAACATTATCATCAGCATTATTATTATTATCATTGTTATTATTGTCATTGTTATTATTATCGTCATTATTATGATTATCGATATTCTTATCTTAGTCTTATTTACACATTTACACTGTTTCCCATATAATTCATTTTGCTCAGAGTGCAGCCCCTGCACCCGGCTACCCACCACAGCAAGGCGGACCACCACAGCAAGGCTACCCACCACAGCAAGGCTACCCTCCACCCCAGGGCCAGGCCCCTGGCTATGCTCCACAGCAAGGCTACCCACCTCAGCCTGGCTACGCCCCTCAGCCCGGCTACCCTGCTGCCCAACCCGGATACGCACCACAGCCTGGCTATGCACCCCAGGCTCAGAATCAGATGTCCAACACTGTTGTTGTGACGGCTCCACCAGCTGTCCAGCAGAGTACTGTAGTAGTCCACCAGCAACAGTGAGTATCATATCATTTAAAGCTTATCAACACTAGTGTGGCTAGGAGGGATTAGACCATACAGCGAGGTCACTGACAGGTGGCTATCTCATCAACTCAGCTCTCAAATAACATAAGAAATAGAGGATCATGGGGGACCAACAGGCACCGATTGGGGAAGTTTTCTATATAGAGGGAGCAAGTAGCTACAAGTAGGACAGTGGGGCTTTAAAGGGAGAGGGGCATCTGTTTCTGCATGCAGAAAAGCAATAATCCGCTGACACCAGATTTTAGAAAATATCATTTATGGTGTCTGCACACAGCAAACCTGCCTGATTATCAAGATGTTTATGATTGGAAATCAAAATTTAAAAAACCGATTTCCTAACGGTGCTTATAACACTATTGGGGAAAATAAGTATGCTAAAACCAGTCACTCAAAGATTTTTGTCTCGCCTGCGTAGCAAAAAAGCGAGACATAGGCGCCGCTTTTCCGGTGACGGCGGCGGCGGCGTCAACATCAAAAACTTAACCTAAGGTTAAGTTTTTGAATTTTTAAAATAATTTTGAAAGTAAAAGGTCTTAGTCAATGAAACTTAGACTATAGGGTTAGCAAGTATCCCCAATCATGTCAGTAGAATTTCAGGTCACAAAGTCAAGGTCAAAGGTCATTTCAGGTCAACAGACTTGGACTATGTTGTGGCATCAAAGGTTAAGTTTTTGAATTTTTGATATAATTTTGAAAGTTTAAGTTCTTAGTCAATGAAACTTGGACTATAGGGTTATCAAGTATCCCCAATCATGTGAGTAGTATTTCAGGTCACTAAGTTAAGGCAAAGGTCATTTTAGGTCAACAAACTTAGACTTTGTTGTGGCATCAACTACGCAAGGAACGCAACCTGTCCACAAGAATCCGTATCAACGGGACTAAAGTTTTCATTCAAACAAGGAAGCTAGCATCTGGGACAGGACCTCAACCTAAATGGACAAACTGGGAAGATAAGTAATCATTCATGTATCTTAATTGTGTAATGGACTTTAATTCAAAGTTGTTATTGGAAAAAAATAATGATTTAAATTAACACCCTTTTGTTTTGATGAACTGAATCTTAAAGAAAACATTGATCTACTGAACAGTAATGGACTGAATGATATACAATGTTGTTTTAGTTAAATGGAATGTGAGATTGTAAACTGTTTGAATTTTGATAGTTTTGCAAACGAAAAGATCTCTGATCTTAACGAATAGAAATGGAGTGAATTACCTTTTGGTAAGTTTGAATTTGAATGTGAAGATATGAACTGTTTTGAATTTTAAAATTTTGACATATCTGCTAATGAGAATCTTTTTATTACATTTACATTCATCATAACTTGTTTTGGAAAACATTGATAAATTGATCTAAGGAACAGAAATGGACTGAATGATGAATAATAATGTTTAATTCAATGTGAAGTTTGGGAACTGGTTGTGAATGTTTTTGTTAAGCCTGCAAATGACCGGCAAATGACAAGATTTCACTTAACAAACAAAAATGGACCGAGTGACCTATAAACTTTTGTTTTGTTAAAGTGAATGTGAAGTTTGTGAACTGATATGAGTTCATTATATTTAAATTTATCTGGATTTGTTTTGTTTTTTTGGAAAACATTGGTTTAATGAACAAAAATTCATTCAAAAAGTCACTTAACACACACTTCGAATTCTAGTTTCATGAAGCATGCACTACAGTAGCAAGCATGAATCTACGCTACCATCGGGTTTTTGGGGTCTAAACTGAGCAGTTTGTAATACGTACCGTTTCATTGGCTCCGAACCCATACAATCCACTGTGTTAATTGATGCTTATTGGTTTATTGACCTTTATAATGGTGTTTTAAAAGCGTTCTCTAATGCTTTGTTTAAAATGTTTTATTCATAATAATTGTTCATGGTTAATACATCATACGGTCCATATCGTGCTTGTTAGGAGTTCATCTATTTTAATTGTAACGCAAAATGTTCAATTCTTTGAACTACCCAATTTTCATTGATTTACTATGTTTGCAATCTTTCTCTTGTTTATCCTAATTTGAGCGTTTCTATGCCTGGTTCAAATATTCAGTGATTCCCCCCCCCCCCCTCCCGGGCATTGGAGGTTGGGTAATGCATGGCAGGTTGGGTAATGTATGGCAGGAATGTTTTAGACGGCTGAGCCGGGTGTCTTCTCATGAGAGAAAGCTTAAACATAAAATAACCTTTTTTTCTGCCGTGCGCTTGGGATTGTGAACACTGGCTTTTCACTTTCACTGGAATGAAATTTTGGGAATGCTTTTCAAATTAGTAGATTGCTTTCTCTTATGACAGAGGCCTTTTGTTCGGCTGTCTAGGATTATTTGGGGTTTTCGTGTCCTACTTTTTGGTGTAATGATTGTTCTGTGGAATTAGCATCTCTGATGTCATGGACTTTCAAGCATGAATAAACACTATCATCGAGTGTTTGGGTTCGGAGTTGAGAGGTTAGTGTTATTGTCTGTTTACAGATCACGCTTCAAATAAGTTTTTGCGCTGACACTATTTTCTTGGCTCTGAACCCATATACCCTGTTCGTTTTCCTTTCAACATTCAGTATGCATGCTCTTAAGGTATTCTTATTCCTTTATTTATATTTCGTTAGTGAATTAATAAACGTAACCAAAATTCTGTTTTAATAGCCCTTCTTTTTAAAGATGATCTTTGGTCCTTAAAAATCCTCATTGTTTAATCACCCCCCCCTTCTTTTATCCAGCGGTTTATGCTTCGTTGACTTTGTCATTCTCAGCTCTTTTATACCCCATCCTTTCTCACTCAAATGTCTTTTGAATACTGACTTACATTTCCTATTTTCGCCTTATTCTAAATAATTTTGATATTGGAGCTTGTAACATTTTTTTGTTTGTTTTTTTTGTTTTAGTACGGTGGCGTCTCGTGGCTTACCGGGCAGAGTAATTTGATGAGGCAGCATGCTTTTGTTGTTGCTGTTTGTATATATATTTTTTTTAATATTTTTTCTTGCCCTCAGGATGCTTTGCTCACGGTCTGCCACGATGCGCAATCGCATGAGGTCTAAATAAATAAGTATTTAATAATGACGTTTTTTCTTTTCTTTGTTTTTTTGTATAGGTATTTTCTAAAAAATGAAAGTAATTTTCATTATTATTTCTGTTATATTCACTCTTTTGTTGCGTATAATTATAATTATGACTAGTCTACATTGAAAATCTATTTCGAACTTCTTTATCTATATCAGGGAGTTGAAGATAGTGTTGTTTTGCTTTGTAATGCTCTGTTACGATTTTGCGGATGTTTATCGTTTGTTCTCCAAGCCTGCGGAGATTTCTTGTAATATATTCATATCTGTTAAATGTTCGTCTTTTGTTTGTCTATGTTTACTTGTGTATTTTTTCTTGTCTATACTTAATTTCCATTTTTATATCACAATGTTGTCCATACAGACCGATTCTCTTTTTCTAACTAAATTTGAAACTTCCATTTTAGATACTGCGCATTATTGTATATTATACTACTATTTTGTTACGCAATCCTTTTGTGGTCAAACTCTAAATGGATACGTTACATAATAACTTAGCGTTTAATTCTCTTCGTGATGATCGATATGATGAGACTATCGCCAATTCTCTAACTGAGTACATTACTAACCAGCAATTCAAAGACTTTGGCCCGAATTCACAAAGCAAGGTTTAGCTCAGACCAAGGTTTAAGTTTAAACCTCCTTTTGTTTCGCCAAACCTCCTTTTGTTATTTACAAACCAGGTTTATAAATAACAAAAGGAGGTTTGGCGAAACAAAAGGAGGTTTAAACTTAAACCTTGGTCTGAGCTAAACCTTGCTTTGTGAATTCGGGCCATAATGTGTAATAATAATATTAATAAAGATAAATTTTCTTTATTCCATTTGAATATTAGAAGTATTAATAAACATTTTGATGATTTTCAATTCCTCTTAGATAATTCGTCCCAATGTCTTCCCTCTATAATTGGGCTTACCGAGACTTGGTTAACCACAGATCCTAACCCACCATTTGCCCTACATGAAAATGATTTTATTTTTAGTAGTAGGAAGGAAAAACTTGGAGGAGGTGTTGGTTTATATGTTTCAAAAAATTATTCTTACAATGTTTGTAATGATATTACTATAATGAACAATATCTTGGAATCCTTGTTTATTGAAATCTTATTGCCAGGTCGGAAGAATGTAATAATTGGTGTAGTTTATCGACCCCCAAGTAGTAATACTTTAGATTTTTTATCGTCCCTAACTGATATTTTGAATAATTCGGTAATGATTAATAAAGATTGCTTTATAATGGGTGACTTCAATATCAATTTATTAAAATATGATACTGATAATTTATGTCATGATTTTTTGGAAATATTTTTATCAAATTCATTCTTCCCACTTATTTCTAAGCCCACTCGTGTAACTAATAATTCTGCTACATTGATTGATAATATCTTTAGTAATGTCATTCCACATCCTGATTCATACATTATACTTTCTGATATATCTGATCATTATCCCATTTTTACTCAGTTTACTCTTTCAAATTCAGTCCACGGTGGACGGCCTCGTCCATTAAGACGTCGAGCTTCCCCAGAGAATATAGCAAGACTTGGAGCCAGTTTAGAGCATGCAGATTGGTCAAGTGTTTATAACACTGATGATGTAAATAGTTCGTATAATAATTTTTTAGATATTCTGAATGAAGAGTTAGATACATGTATTCCCTTACAAAGAGATAAAGTAAATAATTATAAAATTACCCCTAGACTTCCCTGGATTTCGAAATCTCTTCTAAGATGTATTAATAAAAAGAATAAGTTGTACTATAAGTATAAAGCAAATCTTACAGATAGAACTAAAAGTAAATATACTTCGTATAAGAATGCTTTGATTAGAATTTTGCGTTTTGAAAAGAAGAATTATTTCGTGAATCGCTTAGAGTTTTATAAACATGATATGCAGAATACTTGGACAATTC